TGATTACAGAGCCATTGGCCATTATCTTTGAAAACTCACGTGATTTGGGGGAGGTCCCGGATGTCTGGAAAAAGGCTAATGTAGTCCCCATCTTTAAAAAAGGGAAGAAGGAGGATCCGGGAACTACAGGCCAGTCAGCCTCACCTCAGTTCTTGGAAAAATCATGGAGCAGGAACTCAAGGAATCGATTCTGAAGCACTTGGAGGAGAGAAAAGTGATCAGGAACAGTCAGCCTGACTAACCTAATTGCCTTCTATGATGAGATAACTGGCTCTGTGGATGAGGGGAAAGCAGTGGATGTGTTATTCCTTGACTTTAGCAAAGCTTTTGATACGGTCTCCCACAATATTCTTGCTGGCAAGTTAAAGAAGTATGGGCTGGATAAATGGACTATAAGGTGGATAGAAAGCTAGCTAGATCGTCGGGCTCAATGGGTAGTGATCAATGGCTCCATGTCTAGGCAGCCGGTATCAAGCGGAGTGCCCCAAGGGTCGGTCCTGGGGCCGGTTTTGTTCACTATCTTCATTAATGATCTGGAAGATGGAGGATTGCACTCTCATCAAGTTTGCAGATGACACTAAAATGGGAGGAGTGGTAGATACGCTGGCAGGTAGGGATAGGATACAGAGGGACCTAGACAAATTGGAGGATTGGGCCAAAAGAAATCCAATGAAGTCCCTTCCAACCCTGATATTCTATGATTCTATGAGCCTTTTCTCTATTTACCTTAAATCCGGTTTCCTGCACTATAATGAACACCTCCCTGATGATTTCCCTGTTCATTTCCAAAGTGTGTGTGTGTATTAAAATGTCATCCACATATGAAATTACATGTGAGTGGTGGTCAGGGCGCAAATGGTTCCACGTTTTAGTGACGTGGGCATGACAAATACTAGGGGAAAAATGGAAACCTTGGGGAGTCCGGCTGAAGGTATTTCCCCTTCTTCGTTACCCATCTCTCTAACCTGTTGGTTTTCTCCTGTCTCAAGTGAGCAGCCAAGTTGTTTTTTTTTTTGCCATCCCTATTTCCTTTATCTCACTAATGAGCCCTACCAAAAGCCTTTTCATGCAGTCACAGTATTGCTCTAAAATCTTTACTTTTAAGGCAGAACTCTTAACTCCTTATTGCACGGTCCTACAGTTATTCTAAGCACGATTCTTAACTTAAAAGTTACAGGACATTATCAAATATTCTATGAGAGAGGGACCTTGCTAAAGGAGCTTAGTCTGAAAAAGGAAGTGACAGTTTGCTCAGGTCTGTGCCTCAGTTTCCCCACTCCTCAGCAACTACTCAACAATTTCAAGTCTAAACTTCCTAATGTCCAGTTTATATCCATTTGTTCTTGTGTCCACATTGGTACTGAGCTTAAATAATTCCTCTCCCTCCCTAGTATTTATCCCCCTGATATATTTATAGAGAACAATCATATCTACCCTAAGCCTTCTTTTGGTTAGGCTAAACAAGCCAAGCTCTTTGAGTCTCCTTTCATAAGACAGGTTATCCATTCCTCAGATCATCCTAGTAGCCCCTCCGCCGTCCTTTGTCATCTTTCCCGGGCAAAACACCTGGTGTCTCTCTTCAGCCCTTTGTTCCCACTGGCCAAAGCCAGCTGGCTCCCGAGTTTGGGTGGGCCTTCCAGAGACAGATTAAAGTTTCTTGGGGCCCTGGGCCAGAGAAAGTGTGTGGGAGCCCTCGTAAATTCCCTCTAAGCTCTGCGGCCATGCAACAGCATATTAATCGCTGCACAGGCGCTCAGGGCTGCGGTGGGGAGAGTCGCCTATTCCGCGGCCCCAACCCAGCCCAGCCCCAGACCTGCGGAGGCCAGGGGGAGGGATGCCCCTCCCCCGGCCCCAACCCAGCCAGGCCTGGACCTGCTGTGGCTGGGGGAGAGGTGCCTATCCTGTGACCAGAGCCCTGGAGCTGCCACGGTGGGGAGAGGTGCCTCTCCCCGCCCCCAAGTGCTGCTGCGGGGAGACAGAGCTGGGGGGAGGCCTCTCTCCCCGATGTAGCCCCGGGGAAGCCTGCACTGCAAACCCCTCATCCCCGGCCCCACCCCACAGCCCACACCCCCAGCCAGAGCCCTCACCCCCCCCCCGCACCCCAACCCTCTGCCCTAGCCCTGAACCCCCTCCCATACTCCAAAACCCTCGGACTTACCCCCACCACATGAATTTTGTTATGTGCACCAATACGGAGGTGATGTGTCACACATCACCTCCATATTGGTGCACAGAGACTCATAGAATCATAGAATATCAGGGTTGGAAGGGACTTCAGGAGGTCATCTAGTCCAAACCCCCCCCCCACACACACACTCAACTAAATCAGCCCAGCCAGGGCTTTGTCAAGCCTGGCCTTAAAAACCTCTAAGGAAGGAGATTCCACCACCTCCCTAGATAACCCATTCCTGTGCTTTACCACACTCCTAGTGAATAAATTTTTTCCTAATATCCAAACTAAACCTCCCCCACTGCAACATGAGACCATTACTCCTTGTTCTGCCATCTGGTACCACTGAGAACAGTCTAGATCCATCCTCTTTGGAACCCCCTTTCAGGTAGTTGAAAGAAGCTATCAAATACCCCCTCATTCTTCTCTTCGGCAGACTAAATAATCCCAGTTCCCGCAGCCTCTCCTCATAAATCTTGTGCTCCAGCCTCCTAATCATTTTTGTTGCCCTCCACTGGACTCTTTCCATTTTTTCTACGTCCTTCTTGTAGTGTGGGGCCCAAAACTGGACATAGTACTCCAGATGATCTGGACGTCCCTCTATCTGCTGGCAATGCTCCTACTTATACAGCCCAAAATGCTGTTAGCCTTTTTGGCAAGAAGGGCACACTGTTGACTCATATCCAGCTTCTCATCCACTGTAACCCCTAGGTCCTTTTCTGCAGAACTGCTGCCTAGCCACTCGGTCCCTAGTCTATAGCAATGCATGGGATTCTTCCATCCTAAGTGCAGGACTCTGCACTTCTCCTTGTTGAACCTCATCAGATTTCTTTGGCCCAATCCTCTAATTTGTCTAGGTCCCTCTGTATCCTGTCCCTACTCTCCAGCGTATCTACAACTCCTTCCAGTTTAGTGTCATCTGCAAACTTGCTGAGGGTGCAATCCACACCATCCTCCAGATCATTAATGAAGATATTGAACAAAACCGGCCCCAGGACCGACCCTTGGGACACTCCGCTTGATACCGGCTGCCAACTAGACATGGAGCCATTTATCACTACCCATTGAGCCCGATGACCTAGCCAGCTTTCTATCCACCTTATAGTGCATTCATCCAGCCCATACTTCATTAACTTGCTGGCAAGAATACCGTGGGAGACCGTATCAAAAGCTTTGCTAAAGTCAAGGAATAACATGCCCACTGCTTTCCCCTCACCCACAGACCCAGTTATCTCCTCATAGAAGGCCATTAGGTTAGTCAGGCATGACTTGTCCTTGGTGAATCCATGCTGACTGTTCCTGATCACTTTCCCCTCCTCTAAGTGCTTCAAAATTGATTCCTTGAGGACCTGCTCCATGATTTTTCCAGGGACTGAGGTGAGGCTGACTGGCCGTAGTTTCCCCGATCCTCCTTCCCCTTTTAAAGATGGGCACTACATTAGCCTTTTTCCAGTCATCCGGGACCTCCCCCGATCGCCACGAGTTTTCAAAGATAATGGCCAATGCCTCTGCAATCACATCTGCCAACTCCTTTAGCACCCTCGGATGCAGTGCATCCGGCCCCATGGATTTGTGCTCATCCAGCTTTTCTAAATAATCCCGAACCACTTCTCTCTCCACAGAGGGATGGTCGCCTCCTCCCCATACTGTGCTGTCCGGTGCAGTAGTCTGGGAACTGACGTTGTTCGTGAAGACAGAGGCAAAGAAAGCATTGAGTACATTAGCTTTTTCCGTATCCTCTGTCACTAGGTTGCCTCCCCCATTCAGTAAGGGGCCCACACTTTCCCTGACCTTGTTGCTAACATACCTGTAGAAACCCTTCTTTTTACGCTTAAAATCCCTTGCTATCTGTAACTCCAAGTGTGATTTGTCCTTCTTGATTTCCTTCTTGCATGCCTGAGCAATATTTTTATACTCCTTCCTGGTCATCTGTCCAATCTTCCACTTCTTATTAGCTTCTTTTTTGTTTTTAAGATCAGCAAGGATTTCACTGTTAAGCCAAGCTGGTCGCCTGCCATACTTACTATTCTTTCTGCACATCGGGATGGTTTGTTCCTGTAACCTCAGTAACCATACTTTAAAATACAGCCAGCTCTCCTTGACTCCTTTCCCCCTCATGTTATTCTCCCAGAGGATCATGAGGGAGTCAAAGTCTGCTTTTCTGATGTCCAGGGTCTGTATTCTGCTGCTCTCTTTTCTGCCTTTTGTCAGGATCCTGAACTCGACCATCTCATGGTCACTGACTCCCATATTCCCATCGACTTTTGCTTCCACATAACAAAATTCATTCCGCACATGCGTGGGAAATAGAGGGAACACTGGGCCGGTCCCCACCCTTCCCGCCTGTAGTCCCACCCCCATTCTGCCCCTTCCCCCCTTGGCCACACCCTATTCCACACAGTCTGCCCCATTCCAGCCCCGCCCCCACTGCAGCCCCAGGAGCTGGGGAATGGAGCCGGGGTGCTGGAGGAGCCGGGATCCGGTGCCGGGGATGGGGAGGAGCCAGAAGCCAGAGTCGGGGCGGGGGCGGAGCTGGGGTGGGGGAGAGCTGAGGGCTGGAGCCGGGGTGCAGGAGGACTCTGTCACCTTGCTCTGAACTCCCCCAGGTTCGCTAGCTGTAGCCAGGCATGGGTGGTGACTCCTACTCTGGGGATGGAAGGTGCTGGAAAGGGCACATGAGCTGAGGCACTGGCTCTGTCCCAGCCCCTGAGGATGAGGTGGGGGGGGTCTGTCGGGGGATTGGGGACTTGTGGTCCAGTCCGAGCTTGGATGAGACTCTTGGGTTTGATCTTCAGGGCCTTTCACTACAACCACCAGCGCCATAGCTGCCAGCTGCTGCCATGGACCCAGCACTCAGCACACACCCACATTCAGAGGAACGTCCACTATGACCTCTACCAGAAGAAAGGCAGGTGGGGGCAGGGGTGAGGGTGAGGGGTGGGGCAGGGATGAAGGCCAGGGAGTGGGAACGAGGGCAGGGATGAAGAGCAGGGGTGAGGGGCGGGGGTGGAGTGTAGGGCAGGGAGGTGGAGGAGGGCAGAGACGAGGGCAGGGGGTGAGAAGCGGGAGAGATGGGGCAGAGGTGTAGGGCAGGGGGCGGGGATGAGGGCAGGGGTATAGGGCAGGGGACGAGGGGTGGGGGACATCAACAGACGTGGAGATCAGGGCAGGAGGTGGAGACGTGGTCAGGGGGGCCAGGGGCAGGGGTATATAGCGGGTGTTGGGGATGAGGGCAAGGAGGCTTGGGGCAGGGGTGTAGGGCAGAGGATGGGGACTATGGCAGGGTGTGGGGACAAGGGCAGGGGACAAGGTTAGTGGGGCCCAGGGGCAGGGGTGTAGGGTGGGGATGAGGGCAGGGGGTGATAGCCAGAGGGGCAAGGGTGTAGGGCGGGGAGTGGGATGGGGGTGGCAGGGGCAGAGGTGGGGGGGGGGGGGGGGGGGGGGGGGGGGGACAAGGGCAAGGGGTGAAGGGCAGGGGCAGCAGAGAGCAAGGGCAGGGGCAGCAATGTTTTCGCCCAGTTTAACCTCGGGCTGATCAAATCGAACTCCAGGATCCCGCTGCTGGCTCTGGCCAACCAGGTGCTTCCTACCATGAGCCAACCCTGGGCTGGCTTTGCCCTGGAGGCTGACACACCAGTGCCCGCCTATTGCCTGTGTGTCCGGCTGTAGAGTAAGCCCAACTGAGGGCAGTTCCCAGCCCAGCAGAGGGTTTGCAGTGAGCGAAGGGGAGCCTCAGGTGAGAGGGCAGAGTGAGGGCAGCAGCGTTTCCAGAGCAGGCACTCGGCGGCTCGCACGGCCTGGGAGAGGGCATGGCCGTCTGTGTTGTATGACAACACGCCCGGCCATGCTCACAGCTGCCAGGCTGCTGGGCTCCAACCTTATAGCCATTGACTCCTGCTACCCTGCCTATCCCATGCCAGCCTCTCCTAGGGCAGTGACCTCCTGGAGCCCCAAACTGGCCATCTCTGCACTCCACAGGAGCCAGCTCTCTCAAGCCACCAGTGCTCCGGTGTCTGGCTCTGTGCTCAGAGCGCCCCGACCTGGGCTCCCGACTGCAGGGAAGCTGCCCAGTTCTGCCCCAGCTCTCTAGCTCCCCAGCACGCTTGCTACGGGGGTGATGGCTGCCTGCTCCGCACTGCTGGGTGGAGCTGCTGTAGAGCTGCAGGAGCCACTCATGCTGAGCGCTGGCTGCTCTCCCCACAAACATTCTCCACAAGGCAGCCATCCCTGGGCTCACGGGGGCACCCTTTTCACCCACAGATTACATGCAGAATTGCATTAGGGCAGATGGGAGGAGCTACCGGGGCATACGGTCCACGACGGAGAAGGGAAAGAACTGCCAGCAGTGGAGGCTGAAGTTTCCCCATGATCACAGGTGCTGTGAGGGTGATGCCCACCCCATGCTGGTGGGGCTCTCCCATGATGGATGGGGCTGTGCCACCTGGGGGCCCACTGGCATGGACAATGAGTATGGAAGGCCAGGGGAGGCTAAGTCTCCCCTAACCAAGGCTGTGGCCTCGCCCATGCTTCCCCCTCTTCCCTGAAGCTGACGGAGACTCAGCTCCAGTCAGCGGCTTGGAGCTTGGGGCTCGGGCTGGTGACCAGGGGCTGGAGTATCCAAGGGCAGCTCGGGCCGGCCAGCAGCCTAGGGTGGCTGGGGTCAGCCCAGGGGTCGGGCCAGTCAGGCAGGCTGGGAAGCAGGGTCTCTGGTAGCAGGGGCTAACTTCCCCGCAGCCCTGCCCCCAGCATGCTCCTCTTCTCATTGGGTTGGTATTGCAGGAGCTAACAGCTCTGGGCGTCTAGAGTAAATGGCTCCTCTGTCTAGGTGCCTCAGTGGGTCACAGCTGAGTATGTCAAATTCAGGACAGACTGTGGAGAAATAGGGCAGACTCACTCCAGATTGGTGGTTGTTTTCTCATTAGATATACCAAGCCAGTAATCAAAGTAACTTCTGTCTCACCACACTGATAAACAGGAAGTGAAAGATGCAGTCTTCTTAGGCATCACTGCACTTGGCTCACCACCCAGGCATTGGACTCTATGATGAGTGGTTACTGAAAACCAATTTCATCGAACAAAGGGTCCTTTTAATCCCAAGCGATCAACCACACAGCCAGGTCAACATGTAACCCAGATTTTACCCAGCAATCATGCTGGTGCCAATCCTGTAGTAACTCAAATCTAAAGGTTTAATTATAAAAGAAAAGAAGAGAATTAATAATGTTTAACAGATCATATACATAGAAGTGATTGCAAAGTCCTTTTATCAGGTTTCTAGCAGTGATGGAACAGATTGATGGCTTGTAAAGTCTCTCTGGTAACTTCCAAAAGATTGGAAGGTCCTCAGTCCATAATCCAAAATGCTCCTTTGAATTGTAAATCCACAGTCCAGAGAATCAGGGTAGGAAATGGAGGGCCAAATGGAGATATCGCAGGGATCTTTTATCTCCTCTGCCATGTGCCTGGAAATCTACTGTCTCAAACAAAGCTCACAGCCCAGGTGCATGGAAAGTTACTGGCCCAAGATGGAGTCCAGGGTCACATGAGCATATCCCATGTCCTTAGATGCTGGATGACCCACAGGGGCAGCCATTGCCCATGTTCTGGCTGAAGCCTCCCTCTGCAGGAAGCGCTATCAGGGTGGAAGAAGTTTCTTCTATGGTCCATTGTGAGAGCTAAGTGTCCTTGATGGGACATCAGCACAAAGAGGCCTGATCTCAGTTTAAATTTTATCTGGTGGCTGTTACCCGGACAACACACATGCACGAATAGCCAATATTCATAACTTCAGATACACACATTGTGCATGCATACCCACAGGATAATCATACTTAGCAAATCATAACTTTTCCACTGACACCTTACGTGACATACGTTGTACAATATTTGTTGTAATTGTCTAACAGTGGCAATATCAATTATATAAATGGTCATAGTCAATCGCACAGCATCACAGCCTCTCACAGAGATAGGAATGCCTGCCATTAGTGCTACACAAAGGGCACTGGGGCCTCTCAAATGTGCTGGGGCCCTCCCAAAATGGGTGGAAGGTTCAGAGATTCCCAGGTCAGAAGGGACCATTGTGATCATCTAGTCTGACACCCCTGTAGGACACAGGCCAGAGAATGTCCCCAAAACACTTTCTGGAGCAGAGCTTTTAGAAAAGCAGCCTATCTTGAGTTAAAAATGGTCACTGATGGAGAATCCACCATGATGAAATTTAATGTTGATAAATGCAAAGTAATGCATATTGGAAAGCATAATCCCAACTATACATATAAAATGATGGGGGTCTAAATTAGCTGTTACCACTCAAGAAAGAGATCTTGGAATCATTGTGGACAGTTCGCTGAAAACATCCACTCAATGTGCAGCGGCAGTCAAAAAAGCAAACAGAATGCTGAAATAATTAAGAAAGGGATAGCTAGATCCATGGTATGCCCACATCTTGAATACTGTGTGCAGATGTGGTTGCCACATCTCAAAAAAAAGATGTATTGGAATTGGAAAAGGTTCAGAAAAGGGCAACAAAAATGATTAGCGGTATGGAACGGTTTCCGTGTGAGGAGAGATTAATAAGACTGGGACTTTTCAGCTTGGAAAAGAGACGACTAATGGGAGATATGATAGAGGTCTATAAAATCATGACTGGTGTAGAGAAAGTAGATAAGGAAGTGTTGTTTACTACTACTCATAGAAGAAACAGGGGTCACCAAATGAAATTGATAGGCAGCAGGTTTAAATCAACTAAAAGAAAGTATTTCTTCACACAACGCACAGTCAATCTGTGGAACTCCTTGCCAGTGGATGTTGTGAAGGCCAAGACCATAACAGGGTTGAAAAAGGAACTAGATAAATTCATGGAGGCTAGGTCCATCAATGGCCATTAGCCAGAATGGACAGGAATGGTGTCCCTAGCCTCTGTTTGCCAGCCGCTGGGAATGAGTGACAGGGCATGGCTCACATGATGATTACCTGTTCTGGTCATTCCCTCTGGGGCACCTGGCACTGGCCACTGTCGGAAGACAGGATACTGGGCTAGATGGACCTTTGGTCTGATCCAATAGGGCCATTCCTATGTTGTTACATGGTTCCAATGGCTAATTAGTCTCACCATTATAAATGTACACCTGATTTCCAGTCTGAATTAATCTAGCTTCCACTCCAGGCATTGGCCGTGTTGGACCTTTCTCTGCTAGACTGAAGAGCCCTATGTTACCAAATGTTTGTTCCCCCACTGGTGCTTATAGATTGTTAAACTAAAGAGATTGAGCTCTGTGACTCAGTTACTAATCTTTGAAACACTCTCATGGCAGGGGGCTGCATAAGCTCTGCGGGTGCAGCTTTCTGAGGCTCGGTTCCCAGTTGGGTTACTGTGCTGCACAGAGACCCCGCAGCTGTGCCAGAGCACCTGGGGAGGCAGCAGGGGCTCTCAGAAGTCCCTTGCTGTGACTGGAATTCCAGGGAAGCCAGCGGAAGTCACTCAATTAGGGTGAACTGCAAAGAATGGGGCAGGCAATCCCCAAAGCTGGTGGATATTCCAATACTTAGATTTACCAAGCCATCACAAAACAGCTTCTGTTATACCTCACAGGTGTTACTCAGAAGTCAACAACACAATTCCCTTAAAGTAACCCAGCCTCAGGCCTCCCCCTAGTCATCCAAGTCAAATATGATGAGAATTAATGAAAATCTTATTCATCATTATGAAGAAGATGGCTGCCAGGCATAGCAGGGGTTAAAGAAAACCTGTGGGTTCAGCAAGCCCCTCCTCGTTATACCTGCAGCCAATGCCAGGCCTGGAGGAGGGAGAAAAGAAGGGAGCCCCGCTCAGCCAGTGGCTGACTGGCGAAGAGGCAGGATCTCTCTGTGTGTCTGCCTGAAGGCACAGACACAACCTGCCTGCCAACGCAGCCACTGGAAGCAAGTAAGTCTTCCCCTGCCAAGGGGAACTAACCGTCAAGCCCCAACTGTGGTGAAACTGGACTAGCAAGGCCACGCCCCAAACTAAAGAACTTACATAGGGAGCAGCTCAGACAACAGGTTCTGAGTCCTCTCCCACCCCCACAGCTGGGAGCAAGTTCCATCTCCCCTGTCTAGGGGTGTGAGTGTCCCAGGACTCTCTGAGCCAAAACCTGAGAGAAAGGATGGCAGGTTTCCCCCCCTCCAGCCCTTAACCAACAGTCTAGCCACTAGGATGCCCGTCACTGAAGGCACTATCACACATGGAGAATGCGGGCCTAATCCTAACCCTAGTCCCTGCTCAAGGGAGTTAAAATAAAACAAACAAAAAAGAGGTTGTCATGGAGTTTGGGGGAGACAAGGCCCTGCACCCCCAGCTTCCTGCGATTCACCATGACTATCAGCCAGACAGCAGAACAGAAGGTTTATTAGACGACAGGAACACAGTCCAAAACAGAGCTTGTAGGCATAAACAGGACCCCTTAGTCATCTCCTTCTGGGGGGTAGGGCATTTAGACCCCCAACCTTGGAGTTCCCGCCGATTCCCCAGCCAGCCCGTCTGAAGAACCCCCTCCAGCAGTCACTCCCCCTCCCCCCGACTCCTCCTCCAGCCTTTGTCCAGTTTCCTGGGCAAAGGTGTCACCTGGCCCAACCCCCCTCCCGGCTTGGGTTACAGGCTCAGGTATCTCCCCTCAAGAAAAGTCATCCCCTGCTATCCCATCCCCAATGCAGACAGTCTAGTAAAACTAGACATCATTACCAGGTCAGTCTGCCCCGCTCCTTACTGCGCCACAGAGAGAAAGGGAGAAAAAGCCCCGGGCCAAGCCCTTGAATGGAGATGGACCAGCTGTTGAAATGGATGGCTATGAAAAGCACCCATCATCAAGAGCAACTCCTGCAGCAGATGGCCATGCAGCAGCAGCAGCTAATTCGTGAGTTGGCAGCCCAGCAGCAGCAAGAACAGGTGGCCTCCATTTTGCCATCACTGCCCACCAGAGCTGCCTAACCCCGCCTCTAGCCGGCTTGCCACAATGGGACCTGACAATGATCCTGAGACTTTCTTAGAGACTTTTGAGTGGGCGGCCATGGTAGCCCGGTGGCCCCAAGACCAATGGGCTGCAGTGCTTGCCCCGTACTTAACCAGAGTAGCACAGACCGCATACCGTGCTTTAGACCTCACCGCTGCCCAGGACTATGCCCAGATCAAGGCAGTGATCCTTGACGGCCTAGATATCTCAGAGAAAATGTTCCGGCAATGCTTCCAAGAGGAGTGGTACCCGCCGGGAACCCAACCCCACCTGGTCACCCAGAAGCTGCGTGACTCATGCTGGAGATGGCTCAAACCAGAAGCAAAGATGGGGGTGCAGGTCGCTGAACGGGTCCTACTAGAACAGTTTGTCCAGATCCTGCCCC